CGGTTGACTTCTTGGCAGCTCACAGATTTGTCCCCTTCCCCATTTTCTTCAAAACAAAACGAAACAAAACCCTCGGGACGTGTCACCTGAACCGAAGGATTTGCCCACCGCCGGCCCCTCCACTTAGCCCCCCTCCCGCCAGGTTTGTTGGCTGCTCACCACAGTAACGAAGCGGAGAGTCCGGCTCTGGGCGATCGGCGGGGCTAGCGCGAGGAGGATGAAGCCCAGAATAAAGGTGAAGGGAAGCCCCCTCCAGTTGCAGCGACTTTTTCTACCTGCCATGTCTTTTTTTCGTCAACCATCGATGTTCCTTTTTCGACCTCCGTTCCTGGGAGAAAGTGAGCATGCTCCGTTTAGCCGCGCATGCTCAATAGCAGCTTTTGAAGCTGTCTCTGCCGTTTTATCGGAGAAAGCGGTTTGGTAGAGAAAGGGATAACAGAATAACAGAGTCGGGAGGGACCTTGGAGGCCTTCTAGTCCAGCCTCCTGCTCAAGCAGGAGACCTTATACCATTTCAGACAAATGGCTGTCCGGTCTCCTCTTAAAAACTTCCACTGATGAAGCACCCACAACTTCTGGTGGCAACTTCTGTTCCACTGGTTAATTGTTCTCACTGTCAGGAAATTTCTCCTGCGGTTCTATAGGAGTTCTCGGTTCTCCTTTGGATCTCTCCTGCAGCTAATGTTGAAGCAGAACTGAGATTCTTAGGTTGCCTTCTAGAAATAGTTTGTAATCTACAGATGTATTAAAAAATGGCAGATGAATAAAAGATGAAAATAAAAATCTCAGCAGAAAAGAAAAAAAAAGTATCTCAGCTGAGAGTAAAAAAAAATTGAAATATCAGTTTGCAGTTACTGTAAAAGATTGTAGAAAAGTAGACAAGCTATATCACCAAGTGGAAATAGGTAGATCTTGGAGATGCCCTTAGTTAGTGGCAAAGTGAGTGTCAAACCCTTGATCTTTTGCCAACCGTCTCCCAAATATTGCAGATTGGGTCAGGGGTGAATTTGTACGGTGTCAGGAAACCTGAGAGGGTGGCTGCATGGGGAATGGTCATGAAGTTATTAGATGAAAGAAGGCAAACTTTTTAGAAAATGAAAATCTTGCTCAAAGAAGAGACGAGAAAGGCAAGTCTTGAACTGTAAACATTGACCTTATTGTCACGAAGCTCTGATATCCGAAGAACTAAGCCCATCCTATCAGACTGTTAGCCAAGAAATAAGAAATAGTAGTGTACTAAATGACACTGATTCTTGTTGAAGAGCTTGTACAAAATATATCTGCCTGAATTTATATTTTTAGGAGGAAGCCAAACAAACCAGGACAAATAGTTTTAGGTATTTGACACTCACAAGGATTGTATAACGTTACCCAATGTTTTTTTTAATGTAAAGTTTCAAATCTTTTAATATAAAGTTTCAAATCTTTTTTTTATGTAAAGTTTCAAATGTAACTTCTCCATACAACTAATCCCTGGAACAGACATCTGGAAACCAGCAAATACAAATCATCTCTAGCACTGTCTCCATCTAAATATATCTGTGAAAAGAAGCATCAAACTATATGTCTGGTTGAAGTGAAATATTGGTGAAGCACTATTTACAATAACATTGTTAATAATAAAGAAGGACTAGTCTGTCTCAGCATCATTTTATAGTTCTTTGAGATTGTCAGTAAGCATATAGAAACAGAAGATTCAGCAAACACATGCTTGGTCTGTGTCACATGTCAGGCTATCCCGTGATTTATCTGACCATGATTAAGCAGTAATCCATATGCCCAAGTTTGCCCAACACACTGAACCACACAATTAGCCATACCGGTTAGGTTTATACCCCCACACACTAAGCAACATTTTACCCTTGCAAACTCAGCCTCCAACTTTCAAAAGAGTTGGTTTTTGCAAAGGTCCCACATAACAAATACCAGAACAAATTCAGGAAGTTGAGAGTTCCTCTTCTAAATTCTCAACTGAAGAATAGAACTAATCAGTAATTTTAACAATGGAGGTGCCCAAGGGGATCTGCTGGGGACTAGTGGTTTTTTTTTACTAGTTCTGGAATGTGTAAACATTGTGGTGATCAAATTTGCTGATAACAAATAATTCTGAGCAGAAAAAGAAAAAAACCCTCTAAAGACAATTTAATGGTAACTATGGTTTCATATTTGGAAGCATAAAGTGATACAAACTGGGGCAAAGGCTACCTTCTGACCAATTTACAGATATCCTAATGAGACAAATTTGTAAATACTATAATGCCTTTATACAGATCTGTGCCTTTATACATATCTATGATAAAACTACATTTTGGGTGTTATCTATAGTACTGGTTGGATCACCATTAAAATAGGATTTGATGCTATCTACATGGAAAATAAGGTTTCAGTATCCACCTATGATATCTTTCCACTTATGGTACTTGAGACAAGATGTTATTGCTTGTACAGATAGTCCTCAATTTAGGACCACAATTGGGACTATAATTTCTGTTGCTAAGTAAGGCTTAGTCACATCCAATTTTACAACCATTTTTATTATGTAGATTAAGTGAATCACTGCAGTTCTTAAGGGAATCACACAGTCATTAAACAAATCTAGCTTCCCTCCTTGACTTTGCTTATCAGAAGCTGGCTGCAAGGTCACAAAAGGTGATCACATGAATCTGGAATGCTGCAATTGACATAAATTCCAGTTAGTTGCTAAGCACCCAAGTTTCGGGTCGGGATGCTGTAATGGTCATAAGTGCAAGGACCAGACATAAATCACTTTTTCAGTGCCGTTGTAACTTTGAATGGTCATTAAGTTAATGCTTGCCAACTAGCTGTAATTAGATAGGAACACAAAACAATGTGTCTCCAAGCATTCCTGGAAGGTTGCAGTTCAGATGAACTGAAATACAGAAAACTTTCTAGATGTTCTAGATGTCAACCAAGATAATACTCAGAGATGTCTTATGGGATGGGTAGGGCAAGGCTAGTGTACTTTGCTCCTCCCCCCCTTTCTCTCTCTCTCTCTTTCACACACACACTCACACACACAGAGCTCTCAAAGGGTCACCACCTCCAATATACACTATATAAACATGACAAAATAAATAAATAAATAAAATTATGCATATACCCACATTTATTATATGACATGGAGAAACAACACAGTCTAGTTCGGATGTATACATGTACATGGCAAGAAAAATGAATCTTGCAAGTTTACTAGACAGATGGCATAGGGAACAAAAATGTTACAGAATCAGGTAGTTGTGCTAGAAATGCCTCCAATTAATGTCTTTGAAACCAGACATTAATTGGAGGCAGCTAATATGAGATAGGAACAGGAAGGATCTGGAAAAACCAATGACAATGTGTTGGTTGGAAAGGCTGTTCTTGAAGCCTGTGGCAATGGTTGTCCAGTTGTCCTCCTGATCCTCCCTTTCCCTTTTTCTATCTTCTCTTTGCTACCAGTGACATCCTTGACGTAACCCAAGCATATCCAGCCAGTCCATCTGAGTTTCCCATGATATTTCTTTCTCCATTTTCTCTTATTACAACCTTGATTTCAATGATATCTGCAGCAATTACCGTACATGGATGTAGAGAAGTGCTCAGAAAATTAAGTGGTGGGCAGACAGATTGGATATGCCATACTGGTAGACCAGAACTGTCTTCTGCCTTCTAATAACAGATCAGATCATAGATGGAAGGTTTTGCTCACCCTTATTTGCATGCTTCTCCTAGTTGCAGACTTTGAAAAATCAAGCTATCACATTTAATAGACTTTGATTTGGGGTAATGTGCTTCTTTTATTCTGAAGCCTTATGGGCAATTCACTGAGTACAATGATGAACAATACAGAGAAGGGAGCATTCTGGAATAAAGTAAGGACTTTTGTACTATTTGTTTAAAGAGTGATTTAATTAAGTTAATTAGAAGTTTGTGAAATTGAATAATTTTCAGAAAAAATAAGAGTAAAAATGAGTGTTTGGCTCTACAATTTTTTTCATTTCAGAGATGCAGATTTTAGAGTTAGGGACAGCAGTCTGCACTAAGCAGCCTTCTGGATGTCAACTACTCCATGCTGGTTAGAAATTTTGATGTTGCTTTTAGATGGAAACAGGTTGGGAAAGAAGGACCTTGGTTTATATAATAACTCCTTAAAATAGTCAAATTAGACTAAAAAAGCAATCTTGGTCACTATGCTTTTGAATACAGTATAGGTAGTGGTAGTAGTAGAAATATAGACACGCTAGTATATTAAACTGTCTCTTTATGGCCTCAGAGGTGAATTCTTCAGCCTTGGCAAGACCATCGATTAGAGAAAGTCTTGGCATTTTTCTGCCTATGATAATTTAAGAAAATCTTCAGGTGGAGTACAGTTTGAATGAATTGGAAAAGAAAATCGAACCAGCTAAATGTGTGTATATCCAGCTATTAGAAACTTAGTCCCAGAATGCGGGGTGAGCTAGGTTACTATTTCAAAACAGGACCATTTTCAGACTACCGGGACTCAACGTGCCAAGCCTTCCGCCTTCACAGGATTCCGTTGAGGTACAGTACTGGTACAGTACATACCAATAATGGCATTAACAAGAATCCTCATCAGATGACTATAACGCTCCCACCGATTCGGAGGAAAGCCAGGGAGAGGGACGCCCCCCCCCCACTCCCCGCCTTTGGGTGGTCTGCCCGCCCAGCGGCCAGGATGTAGCAATCCAGCCGGGAAAAGAAAGGACCGCCAGGGGGTGGAGTTGGGGAAAGTTCAAGCATGTGACTCGAAAGCGGCTGCTGTTGTTGCAGAGAGTCGCATTACCTCACTGTCACTTGTGCACAGTGGCCCTCCTCAGCCGAGAACGACGGAGCGCAGGGTTGAGTTAGAGCCCCCATCCTGCCTTTCCCTGAGAGCCGGTTTATCGACATTTGCTCCTTTCGCTTGCCGTGCGCAGCGCGTCCTTCCCCTTCCGGGACTGTCGCCCTTCCCGGACCTGCTGTTCTGGACCGGTAACTACTTTTTTTGCGCGATCTTCACGGCATCTTGGGAATGCGGTAGCCTCCTCCAGTGAGCTTGCCTTGCTTCAGCAACCCTGGGGTCTCCGTAATGTTCCGAGGGGGCCGTTGCTAGGAATTCCTCCTCGTGTCGGTGGAAGGTACCAACGCAAAAACACCTGTCGGCGCCAAAGCAGCCACCATACAGGTGTATTTTTATAAATTGCTCTCAGAGGCTTCGGAGCAGTAAGGACTCCGTTCGTGACTTTAAGTTGCCCTGCTCTGTGAAGGTGCAAGTGAAGAACCGCTAGTCAGATTCCGGGAATAAACTCTATAACTGCACAAAGATGACTAAGTAAGAGAATGTCCTCTGGCTACTGTCTCATTTTGGTGAGCAGATTAGGAGGTGAGGCAAAAAACTGTGGAAAAAATGAGTGATTTTCAAAGTAGGATATGCAATGTGGCATACTTGATTGCTGGAAAAAAACGTAGCAAACAAGTTTTGCATCCAAAGCCGCAAATGTAAACAAACTTTCCTGGGCATTTTAGTTCAACATAGTGTCAGAGTAGATATCCATCCAGTCAAGCTGGGGTTGGAGAATGGCAATGATGTGAAAAAGCAACAGCAGCTTCAAGATGCTATTCATCCGAAGCTTGCAGTCATTTTTAAAAGAGATTGAATGGAAGGGTGGCTGAGTCATCACTGGACCACAAAATAGCCAGTCACTTTTTAAACTGGAGTGCTGTGTGAATGCAGGCCTGATGGTTCCACATGCTTTACAAACTCAGAATATTTGTTTAATTAATGTTGACTAAGGTTTTATTTGCCATGAATAAATGAGTCTTGGGAAAACAGCAAGATAATATATGGGTGCAACATTATTTCTAATAAAGTCTTCAAGTTAAGCCCCCTCCCCTGATATCGTTTCATTAGCAACCACAGATAGGCAGTTTGTTACTGATGGCTTCCTGTGTGTTTTTTCAATTTCCTAGTCTAGGCTACAGCCCTGAAATTCTGAGGTCGTCTCCCGAGTCCCAACCCTATCAGGCTGCTTATCCTCCAAGCTCAGACAAGGTCAATTAGATCTTGGTGCCTCGTGTAAGGCATTATTTATAATAATTACTATTTGTGATGAATCACTTCAAGATTCCAATCACCAGGGAACTTGTAAAGCATGCAGATGTAGCTTCCACATCACGAAAGGGATTTAATGGCAATGGCCTAAGGTCCACATTACTGGGCTGTAAGATTGTCTGTGGCACATGTGTAATGCTAGTTTGATTCCAACCTGGCAAAAGATTTCTGTAGTCATTAACTCAATGGACAGCCTTGAACAAGACACTTCCTTTCTCATCAGTTTTATAAAAAGAGACAGTGCACTTTACCCGCATGGGAATGTTATAGATGCAATAAATATTGCATAATTTACATGAGACCAGATGGAATGATATTGCCTTCAAATCTGATCACAAAAATCAAAACTTACAAGATATAAATGGAGTAAACAGACCTTTACAGTACAGCAGGACTCTTAGATTTGATAATCAGTGGCAGAATATAAGATGCTGGCTGCGTTCACACAACCTGCTAAGCAGCAGATAATTGGCCTAGTATTACTCAATGTATTGTGCAAAGCAGTTAGTGAGGTTACTTTATGATTCATTGTGTTATGTGTATCCAGTGGACTGAGTTATTCAATAAGACAGGAGCAAGCAAACAATGGGTTATTGTACAAGAACAGCCAATGCTACTTTAGTATGCTCTTTTGGCATTGTAGAAGGAGAGCTATGTTAATCTATAGTGGCAAAATATCAGCAGTCTGGTAGCACCTTTTCTGATTAACTGTTTTATTAAAAAGCAGAAGCAGCTGTTTTGCAAGAATCATTTACATAGTTCATACATTGCATTGACAAAGGGTGATATATTTTTCATTTTGGTTTTGCATGTTACTGCTAATTCAGCAAACCACAGTTTAAAAATAATGGTTTGATATGTGTGGCCTCAGCTTCGGTCCCATAGACCATGCTTCTATATTAATATGAATTAAACATTTCTGTTTCTGCCAGTGATGCAGATCATAAGCTTATTCATCTTGTATCACTTTGGCTTGGCTTCCCAGGGCTGTTTAGTTTCCATAATTCATAAAATAATACAGTTGGGAGAGACTGGTTGGATCACTGAATCCTATCACAGGCTTAGTACAGAAATCCAAATTAAATTATGTGAGATTTTTGACAAATGACAGAACCGTTAATAAACACCTTTTGAGAATGATTTGTGAGCCAGCTAACTCATGTGCCATCTAGCCCATACTTAACTTATTCATCAAAACACCAAAGGGTACTTTGTTAAACATTTTGTTGAACTTAAGATATACTATGTTTACAGATTTCCCACAAAGTATTAAAGAAGTTGTGTAATAAAAAGCAGGATAAATTTAGCAAGGTGTTCTGTCAAGCATGGGAAAATCAGGGAGCCCAGGAAGTTCAAATTAATATAAAGATTTATTGCAAATTTACTCTCTCTACAAAAATCTGAACTACTAACAAAGCAAATAGGTGGCAGATAAGAGTCAATGGAATTCAAGGTGGACTAGACTTAGATTTCTTGTGCACATAAAGGGACTTGAGACTGATGACACTTTTGACCGCTCCCTCAAGCTCAGCCTGGTCATCTCTTACATGTATTTGACAAATCCCTACTGACATCTGATAATTATATTTTCAAGATGCTTCCAAATCAATCTCTTTATTATCTACTTTAAAAGCTCATTTATTAATTAATGTTAAACAGACATCTATAGGGCCCTGGATCGTCATTCTTTGAATATGAGCATTCTGTTTGTGCTTTTCTACTTACTGGGCAGTTTACCACTTTTCCATGATTCCTCAAGAGTAGTACATAAACTCTTGACCCAATTATTAGCAATTTGCCTCAGTGACCCAAGGGAATGTAGTTCATCAAGTCTTGGAGATTGAAACTCATTTAAAGTAAAGAGGTATTCCTTGGCCATTTAATCTAAAACTTCACCTCTGACCAGTGATGGGATTCAATTAATTTAACAACCAGTTCTCTGCTCTAATGATTTCTTCCAACAACCAGTTCACCAAACTGCTCAGAAAGTTAACAACCGGTTCTCCCGAAGTGGTGCGAATCCCACCACTGCCTCTGACCCTTCATTCTTCTGTTCACAATTTCCCAACAAACAAAAATTAAGTATCTCTCCCACTTTGACAACTCGAAGCTTGGTCTCCTTCATTCAGCAATTGGTTTATTGATTCTTTTAGTTTGAAAATGCCTAAATAAGCCTTTTTTTGTTGTTACTTTCAGCGGTGGTCAGTAACCTTAGCTCATTCTGATGCCATTTCTGTAGTTTTCACTATCTGTAATATTCTATCATGTCTTGGCCTCTTCCCATATTCATATATGCCTTTTTATTTTCAGATCTTCATTAAGTTTTGTATTGCCGCATTGGCTTCTTCTGTTACTGCTTTTTTATTGGTCTTGTTTGCAATTGTATTTTAATATGAACTTTCATGCATCTTAACCTCTTTTCCCCATTAATTCTTACCACGGAATTCTTAGTTTATTAAAATCTGGTTTTTTTGAAGTACAAAATGTTTGATTCCACTGAATTTTAGACTGAACTGGAGTGACATATACACTGAGTCATAAAATCAAATAAAATTAAAAACATCAACATTCTTCTGGCATTCCTTCTACTGTCACTTCCTCAGATAAACTAAATATTCCCTATTGACAAGGATCGATGATCCTTTTGTCAGCTCACACTTTACCTCTATATTTTTTTAAAAAGTACAGATTAGAATAGCCCAAGTACATCTGTAAAGCAATTTCTTCCTTACAATATTAATAAGGCAGAAGTTCTTTCATGCTGCAACCGTTTTCTGAATCAACTTTGTTATATTTCTATTTTCTTATAAATTAAGTATACATTGTCGTTGTATAATGGTCCCCTTGCTTGCTATAATAACACCAAGAAGTGATACATTAAATTTAAATTGTTGCATCGTATTTCAGTATGAAACTATCTTTTATCTGTTGGTATTAATATTAATCTGATGAATATAAGAGAGGTCATATTTATTATAAAGGCTGCCTTTAGAACTAGCTAAACCTCAGGAATTACAGGAAATATAATCTAGAATATCTGAAGGACACATCAGGTTGGAAAATGTTGATATTGAAAATAGCTAAATTTGCATGATGAATTTATCTTAACCACAGTTTGTGTAATCCATTTTTCTTACTATGCATTACATATTATAGCATTAATGAAATACCAAGCTAAGTTCATAAAACATACTGGGAGAAAATGTGGCTGGATAGTTTGGACTCAGTGTATTATGAAAACATAGTCAAGATACAGTGTTTGGTACTGTCTTAAGTGGCTTTAAAAGGGTTCAGCTGATGAATGAACACAATTTATGAATGGCTGTTACTCATAACTAAAAGGAAACCTCCATGAATACTAAGATCTGGGGACAAAATAGTTGAACAATGTTGCTTTCATACTATGCTTGGAATCTTCCCCAAAGCATCAGGTTGGCTCTTTCTGGAAACAAGAAAGCTGAGTTAATGGAATTTCACTGCACTGGTCATATACAGAAGAACAGTTGGAAGGGATCCTGGAGGTGTTATAGTCCAACCTCCTGCTCAAGCAGGAGACACTATACTATTCCAGACAAATGGCTGTCCAAATACAAGCGCATATGCGCGCGCACATGCACACACACGCACACACACACACACACACAGGTTCTTGCATTCCTTTTTGATAGATTTGTATACATAAGGCTAGAAATGATTTATAAAAATTATTAAAAAGATGACTTTTTCTTTATACTTCTTTCTTGGCCTTTGTCTTCCTAGAATTATGAAGAAGCTCTTGAGAACCTCTTCTTATACAGCTAAATTCCCCATTAAAATTAAGAAAGCAGGTTTGTGTTTGGGATTGTCAAGCAATGTCGGATCCTCCCTGTTTCAGTCTCAAAATAACTTAGATATTTCTTTTTGAAAATGTTTTGCAATTCTTTCTCCTTCTCCTCCCCCCCCCTTAGTTTATGACAATGCTATTGCCATATGAGCTTTATCATTGAGGGGCACATCAGGAATCTGTGATCCAAATAAGCAAATAATGACAGAGTTTGTAGGGAGGTTCTATGAATAGGAAAAATTAGCAAACAACCACCAAAAAAAGAGGGATAGCTAACCACAATTTTTGAGTGTTTGAAACCATCCTAAAAAATCCCACACTCTTTCTCTCTTTAATGTGGTGGGTGTATTTTGAGTGCAGCTGTGTCATTGGCTGGCTTGCTGTTTTTCAGCTGACTGTAATGATGTCAGATGTTGTGAGAAGGGCATGTAACCTAGCAGATCAAAAT